AATAACTTTAAATCATAGAATTATGACTTTTCTAATTTTTCGAAATTTTTCCTAAATTTGTCTATTTTTTTAATTAAAATAGTTGAATTAAATTCATATAGAAACGACTGGGAATTTTTCACCAAGATTTTTTATCATTTTTCATTTTTTACAAAAAATTTGCAAATTGTTTACTGTCTTTTTTTTTTAGTAGTCCTAACCATTAATAGTTAAACTCGCTCCACTGGTCTGTCGCATTGCTTAATATGCCAGGGAATCCCTTGGCGATAGAAATACAGGTGAGTCGCCAGCATCACCAGGATCTTTGTGCAGGCTACTTCTGCGGGGAATCGAACCTCAGCATCGGCGCTCCTAATTGAGCAACAACTCACTGATACTGTAGACTTAGTTGTTGACATTGGTATAAACAGCTAGTTGCTCGAATTTTTCCTTACCTTATGTTCTTCTTTTAAAGAACTAAATTACAGTGGAGGATTATGAAATCGTTTAAATGATTAAATTATAGTGAAGGAATATTCAATGTAAAAATCGGATTTTGTGAGTCGATTTTGTATGATTTTGGCGAATACAATGAAGGAATTTGGTTAATCGAACTTAATAAGAGATATATTTCGCATGCATTAACCATCGTAAAATTTTCATTTCATTATTTTATAAAATTTATAAAAAGGTTGAACCCTATATGATTACTGCAATTTTACATTAAGTTGTTGCGATTTTATATAAAATTACTACGACTTTGCAGAAAGTTACCGTAATTTTACATGGAGTTCCCGCAGTTTTATGTAAGGTTACCGTGCTTTAAACAAGGTTACCATAATATATATCGACAACCGTATTTTTATGTAGGCCTATCATGATATAATGATAAAGAAATAAAAAATGTAATATATAAAACGTAATATAAACGTAATATAAACGTAATAAACATAATAAACGTAAAAAAAACGTAAAAACGTATGGCGAAAAAATACTATACATCCTTAAAACATTCGATATGCGAGGAATTTCGCTCAAAATCTCAAAGTTTCCTTTTGAATGCTACAAATATAATAATGATAATAAAGTATAAATGAAACTAAGCTTAATGAAGATATATCAAATTATGTCCTATAAAGACTAATTAATTTTGGATACCTTAATCATTTGTCACCAGAGGACATATTTATTTAATTACTGTAAACTGCCAATCTACGAGAAATTCGAGAGCGGTTAGGGACGTATATAGTGTATTCGAACACATGAATAGATTTAATTTTTAAAGTAACTGTCGAAAAGTACTAGTTATTTGGTTGACAACGAGTCATCCGATTCTTTCCTTTACCGCCGTTTATCCTATCCTATTATCCTATACATACTTCCCAAATACTTTCCATTTTCATCCACAATTCGTGGCTTTGATTTTTATTACTTATTTATCTGTGTTCTTATTTTGTATTGTCTTATACCATGCATTTATTTTGGCCATAATATTTTATCAACAATATTTGTCTGTGGATTGAATTAGCGAGTTGTACGCACAAATTGAAAATTTACATAAATTTTTAATATTTATATTGTTAATTTATAAACTTCAGTTTTTTTAGATAGAGAATTGTAAAAATCAGAGCTATGCAGAAAATATCACAAATAATTTCTTAACAGCAGAAAAAGTTCCACTGAATATGCAGCTAACTGGTCATTTGATACGCAATTCAGCTGAGCTAATATTATATCAACAAATTCCACAAAATGGAACATCATCTCAAGGCAATCATAATTATTGGCAATCTATAAAAGAGCGACTTGGCAATTGGATCTATTTAATAATTTTCCTAATTGTCCTAGCAATATTTATTATTATTTTATATATTAATAAGCAGTGTTGTTCAAAAAATTATTCAAAAACATCAAATAATTCTATTACATTAGAGAATTTAGCTCTTCCAAATAGTACCAAAACTGATACAATTATTTCAAGGTCTTGGATTTGATTAATTTTCCTGAAGTTGGAAATATTTTTCAAATATTCGGAATTCATCAATAAATTTTTTTATTTAAAAAACTAGTTTAAGTTGTTTCTTTAAATCACCAATAATTCTTATCATCTTTTTCTTCTCGAACAAATTTATCAAAAAACTTCTAATTTTTTGAATTCTTGGATTTTCGTGGATCAGATTGAATTTTCTATAAAAAAAAAGATATTTATTAGTGATATTAGATATTGTTTAATCTGATTTTTTTTTGATGATCTCTGCTGATATGACGATAAATTTTATTTTTATTTTCCCTATTACTGTGCCATTTTCTTTGTAAATGTCTGCCAAAATGAAGCGTTTTTTTCAACATCTAATAATTCATTCTGGCACTCGATCGCTATTTCTGCACTTGTAAATAAAAGTGATTAAGCGGGTTAGCGCTCAGCATTTTCGTTCAGGCTGGTTGGTTAAAGATTTTTGATAAGGAGTCGTTTTCCGACAAAATTATCAATAGGTTATCAATAGGTTATCACTCGAATTTTTTGAATGACAGGTTTTCTCTTGCAAAAGTAAGAAAGATTTATGATAGTAGAAGCAATCAAACATTTATTAAAATTTATTGTTTAAAAAGTTACTACTAAAATTTTCTATAAGTTCATTTTTTTCCATTGTTAAAACGATATTCAACAAAAAAAACTGGTTTGAAAAAAGAATAGAACGAAAATAGAAATTTAGGAATAATATTTTCCTTTTTCTTTTTTTCGAACTTTAAACTTTTTATTTTTTAGTTTAAAAGATCTTTTTTTTTAGAAATGTTTGATTTGCACTGCCATCCTCGAAGATAGGCGAATTAACTTAATTACTCCAGTGAAAATCGTAAGTATACAAATTTAAATTCAATTAAGGCATAGGCAACTAAAAAAACAGTGGAACAGTGAAATTGTGGAGTATTTCTGCAAGATTAACAATCTTCACAATGATCCTATTCATTATTATGACTTCTACAATTTTTTGGCGTATAAAGATATTAAAAAATATCAAAAACCGAAGCCCAAAGGTTCTGTTAAGAGCAGAGCAAGTAAAACATGAAATTTCACTGAAATTTCAGAATAGAATTAGGTCGCATTAAATCAAAGTAATTTTAGTCAAAATTTTAGATAAAATATTTCTCATTTGTTCAGGAAAATCAACATTTTTTGAATAAATTAAAGATTATGATTATGATATGAATTGGGCAAAAATCTCTTGCTTTGCCTTCTTCAGAGAGGAGACTTCGAATAAGAGGCATTGCCCAGTATTTTTGAGATGCCATGGCTATGAGTATTTAAATAGCGAATATAGCTTTGAATATAGTTTAACCTATTGAATGGAATATTTCATGCAATAATGTTTATATCATAGTTATAGGTGCCGTTAATTTCTCATGCAATCAGCAATTTTTGCTTTTCTTCCACGAATGCTGTAGTCGTTCATGTTCTTTTGCCAAAGAAAATGTTTTCGTTCTTATTTTTGATATATACAATAAATCTTGAATAGATGAGAAAGCAAAATATGTTCGCCGTAAATTTTTGAATCACCGGCATAAAACAATGGCCCTTAAATCATGGTTCGAACAGAGTAGGTGCCATCGTCGAATTGTAATAAATGCCATTTAATTCCATTGAAGCAGAGAAGAAATCTCTTAATCGTTGAGTGAATAAACTAGGCTCGCCATTCTCTGAGTTGGAAAAAGATTTGAGGCAATCGAATCATATGGTGTATAATTTCTTCAAAAAGTTCTTCAAAGTTGATTAAAATCTTTCCTAGTAAAATGATTTATGTATTGGAGAGCATCTGGTATTCTGGATTTTTAACGTAAAACGACTGTTTATCTTATTGCAAAATATTTTTACAATATGTTAAACGTCGAATTCCTATAACTATAACTATAATCTTACCCCTCATCCGGCTCACTGAGCACAATGAAAACTTCCGGTGTTGCTGGAAGCCGGTTATTGCCAGTTACTTTTATTTTCTATTTTCTACTTCTATTTTTTCAAGTGGGTATGGAACAAAATTACCTGAAACTACTAGCCATGAAGCGAACTTGATCAGAAATGATGAACCTAATATAATTCATTTTTTCCGACTCGCAACACAACACAACATTGAAGGATAATTGTTTAATTGTTCAACCCTCCTTTATGCATTTCTTGCAGTTCAATTGACAAATTGATGCTGTTTAACCAAGCGATGACAATTACAATTTCTTTACCAATTAAGGGAAATTAATGTAACAATTAATGCAATTTTCGGTCTTTACCTCCAATTTTTTTGATGGAAGCTAAAGCCGAAAGCGAAAGCGAAAGCGAAAGATAAGACCAAGGCGGAAACCAAATGAGGTAACCAAAGCACAATTGAATCCTATTGTAGAAATGGTTAGCTTCACCATTTTAAGCTGGTTGAGCTAATTCAATGTGCTTTTAAAATTAGGTTTTATTTGCATAGGCGATAAAACGAGTTGCCAGCGTCAATCCGAATTATTTAATGGTAAATTTTCGGTGACTGGGAGGAGACTTGCTGGTTCTTGACGCTATAATTTGAGTCCTTAACCACTTACCTCCTAGTATCCGAATGCAAAGACAGTTGTAAAGAAGTTTTAATTATTTATTTCTTTTCCTTCATTTTTCAATTTAGTTTTCATCGAAAACCGAAAATTGATGAAATTTTCATTCGAAGTTCCAGTTATTTCATGCGAGTGTGAAGACATACATCTTGAAACTTTTTTTTCCATATTTTTTCATTTAATAACTTATTGTATTCCACCCTTTTTCTTTTTTTACATAAATTGTTTATTTGCTCAAAACGAAATTCTTAATCCAATTTCCCATTATTTGAAGAGCTGGTTTGAAGAAATTTGAAGGGCTTAATCATTCCATAAATATTTATTATATTTTAATCATAAGCAATACAATCCGATTATTGCAAATAATCATTATCAGTCTTTGATCAGTGGTGAAATAGGGGTGGATTATGGCACGAGGAACCAAAATGATAAAAATCATGGAACTAAAGATGAAAGAAAAACACTATGAATTTGAATTATCTTACCCGAGTATTTAGAAATTTATATTTAGAAATTTAAGTATATACAACATTTTTTACTAATTAATTTTTAAAAAAATCTGTAATATTAAGATTTTTTACAATAAGCAATGAATTTTCGATGTTCTTTCTATATTTTCAATATTTTATTAGTAAAAGTCATACGAACCTATATCTTAGCAATCGTTATCTTAGCAATGAAATATCTTAGCAATCGTTCAGATGAATTTGACTAAATTTTCAAGAATTCTTAAAAAATATTTCAACATTTTCCACAAAATTAATATTTTAAATTTGCCATTCCAAAATTTTTTGAAAATTTAATTTTTCTATATGAAAATCCATCAAAGGACGGAAAAAAATGAGCCAGGATCAAGATTAGCAATAAATTTTCGATGTTCTTTCAATATTTTCAATATTTTATTAGTAAAAGTTAGATTTAATAGATTTATTATATTAGATTTAAAATTAGATTAGTTTATTAGATTTAAAATAGTATTGATGAAGAACCTATATAAATATCAATCTTTTACAGTTGCTCGCTTATTCTAAGTGTAATTTTATAAACTTAGTACTAGAAAATTAAAAGGCTTTCAAAGATATACAAACAGCTAATGAATACAATATTTAAAGGCTCCAGCAAAAATCTACTAAGTGGTAATTTTCGAGTTTTCTATTAATATTATTATTTTCATATCAGAAATTTACTAGATTCTCCGAGCCAACTATCATTATGATCGACTATCGTGAAAGAAAGAGATGATCAAAATTCCAGATCCTTTCTATTCACCAATATTTTGATCAAATTTTTGAAAATCCCTAAAATTTTGATCAAATTTTTAAAAATCCCTAAATGTGCGAACGATGATTTAAAAATATTTCAAAAATACAAGAATATAATATGATTTATTTTTTAAAAAAATTTATTGCGGAAGAAGCACTGGAGATAGGATGGCTTAGTGGATTGTTATTCAATTCGGAGCGCCGGTACTAAGGTTCTATTTGCAGAAGGAGTAAATTTATCCAAAAATCCGAGTAATGCTGCGATTCACTTGTATTTCTATCGCCAAGGGATTCCCTGGCATATTTGTCTAATGCGACAAACCAGCGGAGCGAGTTTAACCAGTTATGGTGAAAACCCTTAAAAAAATTTGCAAAAAAAGCAAAATTTATTTTGGTAATTTATTTTGCAAGAAATAATAATCAAAATTAAAATTTTTTTCCAATTTTCGTTCAAAAATATGACCAATAATAATTTTTTATGATTTTTGGCTTTAGCTCAGTCATTCGGTTGATTTGCTGGATCAGTTAATTGAATTTTTCCACAGAGATCATTGAGAATGAAATACTATCCGATCGTCACTATTATCGGATTTTTTAAAAGCACTTTTTACTCCTGCAACGATTAGAACCTTAGCAACAGTGCTCTGGAAAGTTAAACCCATTGGCAATCCACTGAGCCATTCTGTCCATAATATAAAGTATCATAGATATGAGGATTTATTATAAATGACTCTAAAATTTTCACCGGCAAAAATCATTTAATTTTTGTATTAAATTTACCTATTAATCACAATTTTTTCTATTAAATTCAAGTACTTTTTTTAAAAAACTTTGTAAAGATTGGTTTAATAGTTTGAAGAGGTTTCTTAAGAAGGTAGACAAATCTAAGTGTTCTATTTTAATAGCTATTTCTTTAAAAAAAATTTAGGAAAAAATTTTGATTCCATGGCACTGAGGCACAATTGAACAATGATCATTGTTGTATATGTTGAAACTCTAAGAAACTTAGCGAAATGGCCTACTAGTGCAAATCGGAGTAATTTCGCCGTAGAGCAATGATTAAATAATTCCTTATCTCCATCTGCCGAAAAAGATTGCGATGATAACCAAATCAAAAACTGACTTCTTAGATCACAATAAAACACTAAACAATTTTTCTTATTGTTAAAAACTAAAATTATTCTTTGTTTAAAATTATTGCAAATTTCCATGAATCATTTTTTAGTTTGCATAATGATTATTTCTGAAATTAATTTTTTTTTTCGAATAGCACTCATTATTTCTGATTTAGCTGGCTCTATTGGCTATTAGAATGAGCTTCCTTTGTCCAGAGATGATAGAAGTACCATTGAATAAGAGTCTTATCCGGATTTCACTTTCAAGAATTCGTATTTAAAATTCTACCGTTGAGAAAAAGAAATCTAATGGTTTGACCATTTTAGTTAAAAGATAATTATATGGGTTTATTGCATTATTATTGCCCTTAAGATTTTTTCCAGCGAAAATTTTTCATAAGAATATAATCAAATATTCATGTCTTTAAATTTTGACAATTCGGCATTATAAGGTGTCGATCGCACCATAATGAACCTACAGCATTCTTTCATTAAACATAATGGATCAAATATGAAAACTGTGATTTTTTTTGAGACCATGGAATAATTTAAATCATATAAATTCGCATTAAATACCAGTCTGATGATCAATTAATTCCTTTTTATTATTAATCTTTCTGGAACCAGTTATACAGTCAAATTATCTATAATATATATTTTATTGGAATATTAACTATTTATGCTGGAAGATTATGTATAACTGCAAAAGGCGTTAACTCTTAAATAAGCAATGAGAATTTCATGAATGGATCTCTGTAGGTGACTTATTGCCATCAGCTGATTATATATTTGAAGATTTAAGATTTAAGAGGGAAATGAAATGATTAATGATTTTCAGTGTTAGAAAAATTTTCAGCTAAAACTTATCCTTATTTACCTTGAAATTATCAATTGAAATAGCCAATCCAGTGGTTCAGTTGAATTTTTTTTCATATTTCCCACTTCATTAGTTATTCTTTCTATTATTGAGAAGTTCATTGTTACAGGATTAAATTATTAGAGGATTTTCATATGATAAGCGATGCAATACCTCGTTTCAGTCAAATATAGCGAATTTAAGATTATGAATGTTTTCTACTCGAATAAAGTTAATGTAAAGCATAAAATAAAATCTATGTAAAGTCGAATCCTGAGTTCAGATTTATTTGCTCTTAAATTATCATTTAAAAATATTTATTATGCAGATCAGCAGTATTTTAAGTATATTCTCTGTTATAGTGCTGGAGATCCACTTGCAGTTCCATTCTCAAGAGTGTACCAGAAAGGAAGAGTTAAAAGTTATAAAAAAAAGTAATTATGGATCAAAGGAATCATTCGATTGAATTCTGAATTTTTTTTGCATTTCCAACTTATTTAATAGATGGTTATTCTTTTTTTTCTGTATAATTCATTATTACTTATGAAATAATCACGGTGAAACTTATCATATATCTTTAATTGCTTAGCTGACATAAATACTGATAACGAAATGGTCAAATGATTATTTGCTATGAGAAATTGATAATTGATTATTCTTTATGATCAAATAATAACCATTCACATTCATTATCATAATACTAAGCGGTATTATATATGGTACTTTATACGGTAATTATAGATGGATAAATAAACACAAATAGATAAATATGGAGAAATACGGTAAATCAATGATTTTAGTAAATGATGAAGCATATATCTGGCTTCCTCCTTAAATTTTTTATTTAAGACAATTGAATACAAAATGAATTAAAAAAAGGAAATTGGAAATAGCAATAAAAAATAAAACAATGGCTTTCAGTTAATTGTTAAACAGATTATTCCTGATAAATGATAACTGGAGTCTTCTGGAGTTAAAGCCATCGACTACCATCAAAGATCCCATTTTATATTGGTTGCTACTTTTGGATCTATTACGAATTCTCCAAATACTTACCATTTTAATTCATTTTTTTTTAAAATACCGTGGATTTTCTTAACCAAGTTAGGCAATTAAAGACAGTTTGCCATCAAAATGGGATCTTTTAATCAGAGAATCACTTATTAGATCACTTATCACTTATTATTAGAGGTGCTGATGAATCTCCAGAACTCCCAGAATCACCAGAATTTTGTTTTTAATAACAATTTTATTCTCCCCATTGGATGGTATGCATACTGTTCTTATTCCGGAATCCGGAAATTATCCACATTCCTTGCATCGATTTCATTTTATAAAATTTTACATCATAGTTTTAATGTAAAAGATTGTAGTAAAAAGAAATGAAGATTGCCATGAGAGAGTTTTGTTTTAACGGAGAATTGTCGACGAAAGTAAATAAAAAAATATGATCATATATAAAGAGAACAACGACCCAACGGAACTTTAACACATTTCGGGGATCGTCCCATTCAATTTTCATTTGATATGGGAAACAGGTCGTCTTCACATGTTTCTCAATATTCGACAGACTTTCCCCCCTACTATATTCGAGCACCACCACCATCTGGTGGGTATACACCACATATTAATAGACCATCATTTGCGCCACCACCATTTCATCAATCGATGACTTCGTTGCATCACCCGCATGGAACCGATTCAGGTTATATGACAAGTCCAACTGAAACTGAACGATTAAAAGATTCGGTTTGTTTAGTAAAATTTTGATTTATATAATTTGTTATGAAGGAAATAAGACTATAATTTTCTTATAAATTCCACTGTAAATTGATAGAAATAACAAAAATTCATATATTTCTAATTTTTGAATTTTATTTATATGTTTTTCTTCATTTTTTGGGAATTTTAGCTAATTTTAAAAAATTATTGAAATTCTAATTCTATTAGCTCTAAGTTTTAAAAGATATTGCCGATATCGAAGATATTTTTAATAATTTTTAACAATTAAAATTTAATAAAAAATTGCAATCATAATTTATCTAATCAAATTCATTCAGTTTCTTTTTATTTTTATATAAATTAAACTGAAATTAATAGATTTTTATCAGTGATAAAAGAATAATTTGCACATCATTTTAGTAAGGCTATTATTTTACGTTATTATTGTTATTTCCATTATTATTATCTCTAATTATTATTGTTATAATTATTATTATATTTTTAATATTATTGTTATATTTTAATAATATTATTGTTATTAATTATTAATTTATTATTATTTTATGCGATTCAGTAGATTAACAGGCAATCATTTCTCGAATTATCATAGTGATATAAATCAAAAAATCCAGTTTCAATCCTAAATTTTTGCCTATTAATGACATTGTTATTTGATTACGGAATTAATTTCCACAACAAAAATTCCTACCTTTTGTTGAAACACTTTTTTTCTAAAAATGCATAATAACAATGATAATAATAACAATATTTGCGATTCAAAATTTTTGAACGACGAAAATTATCATATTATCACACTTCGAATGATTTTTTAAAAAAATTTTAAAGTTATGGCAATTTTAGGAAAAAGAATTATTTTCGATAATCTTTAATTCTAATAAAAGTTTTGAATTCCTTTTCTCTTCTTTACGGATTTTTTCATTTAAATTTTTCAAAAATTAAAAAATTAATAAAATTCTTACTTGATTTATTATTGTAAAAAAATATTTTTGTTCATTTCGTAAAATATTTCTATAATTTTCTATTTTTATATTTGCAAAATATGTTTATCAATCGATCGCATTTCATTTCGACTAAATTTATTTTATCTTTAATTTTATTCATTACTTATTTAATAAAACATTTTCATTACTTATTTGATTATTTAATAAAATATTCATTCAGTTTAAATTTTTCCTATATATTCGTTTTATTCAATGATAAGCAAAGAATAAATGAAAAATGATTAGCGTTCACCGTTAATCTTCCTCCATGGACTATTAGTGTAGTGCGATAGCTTCTCATAGCTGCACCAAGCGACAGTTTTATTTTTTCTGCCGGAGGCATTCTCTAGGCTCTCACGCTCGAAACGATAATCTAAGCAGTAATCACTCGGTTATTCTCCTTAATCTCCTTAATAGATCCAAATTTATCAAGTGAATTCTTATTGAGCCTCTTTAATAAACGATGCAAAGGAAGAAAAAAACGAAAAAAAAACTCTATTTGTTAATTAATTAATATTTGTCGTTTAATTATTTTTATTACTGTGATTTTATAGAAAAATTTGCACAAATTCATTTTTATACGATATAAATATACAAATAAATTAAAATAGAGGAAAAAAAATCAAAAATTTTTATTAGAAATGTCGATGGTCAGTGAATTTGATAATGAAGTGAGGAAGCGAGAAAAAGGATTCCTTCCTTCATTCCTTCATTTATTCCTTCTTTCTTAATGAAATATAACGAGTATTTATTTTATTGCAGAAACTTCCGGTTTAAATTTTTCCTGATTGTGGGACAAAAAATTCCTTTACTTCACTACTATCAAAATATATATAAAGGTTTCAAAGAAAAATTTATTCATTAAAAATTAATATTTTATTATTTTAATATTTAATGAAATTAATAACTGATATCTTACAATTTAAAAAAAATTTTTATCTACTTTTATGTAAATAATTTTAATAAGTTCAATAATTATTTTTAATTGGTTTATAATTTTTATTTTTAAAATTCTAATTTTTTTAAAATTCAAAATTCTTATAAAATTTAAATTGATAAATTTGTATTCTCTTACTTATATATTTGTTTTTATAAATTTATTTTTCTAATGTGTTTTGCTTATTTATATTTATTTATATTTATATGTATTTATATTTTATGTATTTATTTTTCCCTTTTTATTCTTAAATCATTTATCGGTTTGTTTCCTCATTTTTTCGGATTTGACATTAAATTTTGCTTTCAGATTATAGGTTTTTTGAATTTGAAAATTTTGAAGATTCTTATACATTTGTTTTTAGTTTCATGAAAATATAACTATAAATATAATAAATGTAAAATATTCTGCAAAAAAAAGAAATTTTTGCAAAATGTTTTTTTTAGAAATCATATCTTTATAATGTTTTTAGAAAGAAAGTACATTTCTAAAAGTTTTAAATATTTTAAAAAAACTAAAATGTGAAAAAAATGGAATATATCAAGAAAATTTGCATATTTATCAGTTTAAATATTTCAATAATTTTAAAATTCAAATTTTTGTATTATTTTTATGTTTCACTCGTCAAAAGTATTTATTATTGAAGCATGCGAAATGAATTTTAACTGACGAATTTGTTTTTAACAATGGAATGAAATTCCTTGTTCAATCAATTCGTTCGAGCATTACAATATCATTTAACTATCAGAAAATATAAAATGTATTAAATTTTATTGTATTTTTACTGAGGGACGAACGAAATAAAATATCAAACGATTTTTATTCTTTTAAAATTTTATGAGGGGGCAAAGGTCAAGGTTAAGTTAAGTCTTATTTGCTTTAAACAAAAAGAATTTTTATTAAAAATTTTATGAGAATAATTCGGCAAGGGAATATTTGCTTTCGTTTTTTACGTATTTCAATCGAGATATTTATTAATATGTGAGCGATATTTGTTCTGGGCTCTATTATTCTAGGCTCTGTTCTAGGCTTCATTCTAGTATTCTCCATGAAACCTTTTTATGGTTCCGTTTTTTCAAAACAACTGGCTGAATTATATTCCACGCATTTATTGACTATCGAATTCGTGATGAAGTGGTTGATACTTACCATTTTTTGATTCCGTTAGCTATTAGAGCAATTAGAAATTTTTACGAGGAAATTACTTGATGATAGGAACACATTTGTATAGCCAGCAGTATTCGAATTTTTTAATGGAAAGTTTTCAATGGATAGGCATCGGTTAGAACGCTTGGCATTCAACACGACTAATGCGAGCTAATTTTCACTCGGTTATCGTATCTCATTATTGATATGACTTGTTATAATAATAACAATTAATATTAATAATAATTAGTTATAATTAGTTAATAAGAATAAAATAATAATATTTTCAGTACCAAAGAACTATAAAAAATTTCTATTTTTTATAAGCATTTTTCCATTGATATATTTAGTGAAAATCTATTAAAAGATAAATGACCTTGCTACTCTATAATCCTTACTTTTATCGTTTTCGTTTATAGAAGAAATACAAGGAGATTTAAATTTTCTCCACTAAACAGCAATCAAAATAAAATCATTCTTTTTCATTCTAAATTATTATTTAATGATTTAATGATGCATAAAACAAATTAAAATTTTATTTTTAGCTAAAAATTTTCTAAAAACTATTTAAAAAATAAAAAATTATGTGCCTAAATCCATGTAAAAATAATCCATAAAATAAATAAAAATTTTTATAGATTATTTGATTTATTAATTTGCTGAATAGGTTTTAATTAATTGTATGAAATTAAGTAATTTTAAAAAATACCAAAAAATCATACAAATTTCTTCATTTTTCCTTTATTTTTTTTCACTCATTTTCTTAATCTATTTATCAATATATTTATTCAAATATGTAATATTTAGGCTTGGAAGAAAGGACAATCGAGATTATCACTAAATGAAACGCTAATATTTGATGGACATCCACAACCGCCACTACCATTACCACCACCAACATTTCCACCGCATCTTAATGCTCAATTATTTCCAATGCCTGCGCCAAGTCAAAAACAGCTTAAAAAATGGCATAAAAAACAAAAAAAACTTCTTAAAAAGATGGGTTCCATGCCACCACCGATAATTCCACCACATTTTCCACATATTACTACTATTTCGCCATATTCAAGAGCATTTTCGATGGACAACTTAGCGAGGTAAATTTGTGTAAATAAATTTGTCGTCCATTCATTTGTTTACTAATCGCTCACAATTCTTATTGCATCACTTGATAAAAAGCACTCCACCATTCTTCACCAATAACCAATTATTCAACGAACCAAGCCCAACCAAATAACCAACCAACCATTATTATTATTATAAAAATTTTTAAATAAGAGAGTTTAAAGGACGTGAATGTATGAAATATTTAACAATTAAATTTTTGTTATAATATTTACCCAATAAATAATAGAAATAATAATTATTTTAAGCATTATTTTAAAAGGAAACAACATTAATTTATAAAAAAATTCGTCAAAAAAATAGAAATAAATTTTATGCTTCTTCCAACCACTTAGTTTTTTTTTGTCGTTTATCATTTCTAGTTTGAATGGTTAAATGTGGTAAAAACATTTTGCTAAAAAAATCATTTGCTTGGGGAATCGAAGCGCACGTTAGTCACCAGTGTCATCCATTCTTAATGACAAGTCTTTTTCCTTGAAGGAACAAGAATCAAGAACCACATCGCTTCTCCTCACACCAAATAACATTTTAACATTTTAACAATCAGTCATGAATTATTTTAGCCAAAGGTGCCAAAAATAATTATTGATCAGAAAAATTTCTGATGAAAGAATCTTTTGTTTTATAATTAGTTTATGGTAAGAAGTTGAATAGTGGTACATAGTCGTTTAACGTTTAACAGGTATGAGATGGGTGATTTTTATAATTTCTTGGAGAATTAGAGTCCTCAAGAGAAGGCACTGAAAAACCAGAAAACGGTGCTGGCGCTGCTGCTGGCACTACTTCTATCATCATATGATTCCTTGGCAAAAATTTCTTATTAATAGTTAGCGCAGCGAGCAGTTAAATACTTATTTGCTTACTTGTCATAGCAATGAGCCTCATTAAAAGGCCAATGACCATGATAAATTTGCAAAAAAACGATCAAATCGTAAATCGACGATAAAATTTTAGTTGATAATCGATCTGATGATCGACGACAAATAATAAAAAACTGTCGACGATAACGAACTTAATGATTGCAGTATAAAAAAAAAAAGTTCAACTCTAAAATCAGATTAAATGAATTATAATTGATCTAATGAACTAATTTTTTTTGACCCATTTTTTCCAAAAAATTAGTCAATTATTCAAATTGTAATAATTATATTATAAAATTAAATTATGATAATTAATCTAAAAATTTATTTATAGCAAATATTCATCGATATTTTCATTTTATATATATAAAATATCATTTATCGGGTTAATTCGATATTTTTTATTTTGTTTTTTATTTAAAAAAAATAAAAAATTCAATATTTTTATTTTTTGTTTTTTTTATTTTTGTTCTTTTATTTTCTTTTTAAAAGAATATTTATCACATTTGGTGGCCATAATATAATAAAATATACTGTATATTAGTGCATTTTGGTCTGTTTGGTTCGTTTAAATTTTTAAAATTTGGTTCGCTCGAAAGAAGCAATGCCTGTAAGTAACAGATACATCCACTTCCTAAGGACGAATAGAATCATCTTCGAATCCCCATATATATACTTAGTTTCTCTTCGAAATTCTTTGTATTTGCTTAAATATTCTTTCAAGCTGTGTTTCGCTTTCCAATCGGCCAGATCTCTATTGTTTCCAGTACTCTTTCCCTATATTATTAATTCTCACCATCTTATTCCTTGACGAATTCATAATTCGTGACTAAGGTCGCAGCAAAAATAGCGAGTTGTGATATGGAATTAAGGAAAACTGAGGGCGGGGGGTGACTAGAGGGGGTGGTTAGTGGTTAAAGACAACTAAATCTGAGGAAATTTAAAGAGTTTGAAGAGAGAGGTATTTATTAATGGTTATAGCAAACGAATATAGTGAGTGGGATTTGGTGAGGCGTCGAAAGAAAATAATGTTTTAAGAGTATTCAAAGGATTCAAAGGATATTTAATGGGCTTTCAAGAGGCTTTTAACAAAGTTATAACAGGTTTTGTGGGACATTGGCGAAAATTTGCATCTTCAGACACATTCAAAAAATGACATAGCAAAGCTGGTAAACGAGACTATAGCATGATCGAACGTATATATATATGTATTGCCCGCTGTGGATGGCATAGGTGAATTTCTTCGAGCCCTCTACCAGGTTCCTAGGAATTTTATGGTTCTGTTCAATATCTTAGTTGTTCCTTATACAATGCACTCTGGGCAAAGATTTCTGATGTTGTTTTTGAAATCTGTTAAACCATTTTTTCAGCGTAGAATTCACACTCTGAATGCTTTTACCACAGTTGCAATAAATTTGGTCTTCATTTTTAACATCTCCAATTATATATAATGAGGGGACATCTTCGAGAGGGGACATTTTTTAGCTTATAAAAAGCGTGAATTTTAATTGAACGAAGAATCAGTTTTATAGATCTTCAGTCTTTTTATATTATCAAATTCTTCGATATAAAAATATATTTGAAATTAATTTGAAATTCAATAATTGCAAAGAAATTGATGCGTAAAGTCATTTCAAACGATAAGAAAAAAACGGCTAATAGCTTTTTCGAAAAAAAAAAAATTATTGAAAATCCAATAAAATTAAAAAAGTTTTATTTTCCAATGTCATTGATTGACAATAAATTTGTACTATGAAAACTGATTTTCGGTGAATTTTTTGAATTCCTTTCTGCTAAATTCATTATTTACCGTTTTTTTCTATTTATTTATTTTAAATTAGAAAAAAAGGCGATCTCATCGATTTCATTCGAGTAGAATTTAGTAGAATAGTCGGTGTGGTTCTTTGTTCAGATTATCCTTGCAAGCACTAATTTAGCACTGAATGTGGAAGGATTAAATCGATCATTAAAAATCTGATGCTTAGAAAATCGACTTTCTCTTCCACTACGTTATTCTTTGTTGAATCTCTCTTATTCTTATAGCTATCGCATCGTTTCAATAGCCAGTAAAGCGAGTGAGCCTAGCCAGAAATAATAAACGGAAAGGCAATAGTAATAAAGCAGACTTATCAAAAAATGATATGATCGCTAAAATCATAAAATAAAATATTTGATCAATGCGGCGACTTTATTTCACAACAAATAAGCAGAATCGATAGATTATTAATTGAATGTAAATAATTCCATAAAATTTTGAAGAAAAAGAAACTTTAAAGCTGGAATTTTAAATTCTTTAAAATTTTTTAAACATCTTTTTTAATAGAGCTTTTTGCTAATTGAAAAACGAATTCTTAACATTTGTCTTTTACAAAATTTCTTTGATAAATAATGGGATTTTGTGGTCTTTGTTTGACAAAAAAAACCCATGACTTCTAGCAAAGGTCATCCGATTGCTTAGGAAGAGGTCAACATTGATCTTTCGCATGCGACATTCGATTATTGTTAAAGGGAATTGATGCAACAATAGCAGTGTTATTGCCCATTTGGGAACTGATTTAATAAATGAGCATAAGAGGGCAAAAATTATTTATAATTTTTTAAATCAAATCCTCTTTTTCTCGTAGCAGCACGCTTTATTTCTGGTTTTTTGACTATTATTAGAATAAGGCGTTTTCCTAGAATAATTAGAATTAGGACCAGAATTGCTAGGACAAATCCTCTAGTCGTGTTTCATACCTGAAATGCAAATCTTCGAAATCGGAGGCCATAGGTGAAAACGAAACTTTTTAGTAGAACGCTATGCCAAAAATTAAACTTCCTAATCGAGAATGCCTCTTTCCCTCGATATTTGATTATCATTTCAGTTTCAGTTTCAGATAATATCAAAGAAATTAACAAAAAATACTTGAAATATTAAATTAAATAAAAATTATGTATAATTAAGTATTAAGTATTTGATCATTTTTCTTCTTTATTAATAGCACAAATTTTCACTGAAATTCGGATTTGGATTTTTCATATGAGTGGTTAAAAAAATGAGTTCATTATTTTTATTAAAATTTTAAATGGAAAAAAAATTTTTGCATAAATGCAAAAAGATTAATTTTTAGACCTTATTCTATCTTGTAAAATAATAATTTTAGTCCAGTATTGGATGGATATGCTGATGCACGAAATTCAGAGAAAAAATCTTGGGAAAAAGGAAGAAATCGAAACAGTGAACATTTTGGGGAAATATTACCCGAGATTTCTGTTGGTATACCCAAATCAACTATTAGTAGGTAACAAAATTTATACCTATAATTTCGTTATTTTTCGATATTCCATTCATATAAAATTAATTTTTTTAAAGAATTTCTCAAACTTTTCAACTTTTTTTTTCAAATTTTTTTTCTTTTTATTTGATTATTTTTATTGGTTTTAAAGAATGAATAATTTCGATTCATCTTTTGATAAGCCTAAAAGCTAATTTAATTGTGGTTTTTTTCTTTTTTTCTAAAAGAAAAATATCATAATTTTATATTTTAAATCTAACGAAAATTTTAGCCTTAAATTAATTCAAAGACCTTTTTTCTATTTCTAAGAATAAATAATTATTTATTTAGATTTTTATGTTATTTTTGTAATGTATATAGCATTAATCCAAATCGATTAATTTTGGCAAATATCATTTCATCCATCTATCATTTTAGTACGAAAATATTTGTAGTGTAAGCAAAGTATTGCAAATGTCAAATATCTTCAAATACGAAACAAACGAATGAACGAACGATTAAGACGGACGAATAGACGGACATTGTCCTTGTTTAAGAAAAATTTTATTTATTTAATGACATAAAAATTTTATTATTACTAAAATTAATAAAACGGTTAACTAATAATAAAGAATAAAGAATATTATCAATTTTTTGCAGTTATTATTCGGATGGATTTGGTGTAACAAACAAACGAAATAATCACTTATCAAACACTTCGGTTAATGCTTCAGAACATAGTCGAATGGCATCGAGTAACACGGAGCGCTCCTCGTCCGTACAAATTCAAACACCATCACCGAGTCGTTTAAAGCGAACACCCGAATTAGCATATAAACGCATAGCAACAAATCGGGTATCGCATAACATTCATTTAGCAAGCGATAGTGATGATGGAAATCAGGCAACATCTATAATAAAAGACGATGATCTTGGGAGAAATAATCGCAAACCTCTTCCCTCGGAGAATCATGCAAATCAAAATCAACTGAATGCATATCCGATATTCAATAAAACCACCATTATTAATGCATCAGCGAATAATACAACGATGAAAGCGGAAACATTTGCAGAAAAAAAATCATCTGATTTACGATTAGCGAAAGAAGCGGCGACAAACAATCATTTTGGTAGCGTTGAAATTGAAATTGATGATGAGGGACATTCGATAATTAGCGAAAAAATTACAAATGAACATTATCATACAAGCAAAACAAATAGTTCAAATGAGAGCCCCATTATCGAACGTCAAATTCCTATAAAAATTACACATGAAGCAAAGGAAATTCTTGAAAATAACGCTCGGATTTTCTCACAGAAACCAGTTGATCATCACTATTATCAAGTAAGAATTTTTTCAACCTTAAAATTTTTGGTATTTTTCGGTGACTGAATCACCAGACGAAACGACCAACGTGACCTTATGTTGATGATACATTGACTGTTAGCAAGACCTTGGATTAATGATAAATGGCTCATTTAACAAAATCGCCGATTTGTTTGGAAAATTATAATTTTATTGGTCGAAAATATGCTGGGTGATTCTATTGTAATGATTGTAAAATTTGCAAGAGAATTATGAATTAATTTCCTTCGCCAAAAGTAAGTAGGATAGTCGGTCCAAGCATAATTTTATTTTCCTGTCAGCGGATTTCTTCCTCTTCTACTATGGCGAAGGAAATATTGTTGATTTGGCTGTTTTGGCTGAAGTGGCCATTGAGTTTGTTTAAGTCGAAAAGAGCTTTCTCTAAATGATTTGATTTTTTAGACGATTTTTCGTTACTGATCCACGTGTAAACTTTTATTTAATATTACTAAAATCCTAACCAACAAGTTTTTTCCTTACAATATTTTATTAATAGTCGTTCCAGAAAAAATCAAATATCTCGGGTGATAATACACAAACAGTCGATTCATCTAACAATGATCAGCCGTCCACCACAACTCAAGAATGTGATCCATTAAAAAGGTTGACTGATTTGTGGTTCCTTTATATTTAAGCGGATCATTCCCTTTACCTTATAGAATATTTTAATTCGCCTGGGAATGAAATTTGTATAGTCTATACCAATATTAATATAATCTTTATATAAAAAATGGTGTCATTCAGGAACACGGATTACGGGTCAACAATAAGTTCATTAACACAAAGTTCAAATATTAAAACTGAAATAAGCGACATCGATTTTAGTTGGGTGAATGATGTTGAAAATCGCTTAGAAAAAGAGATCGCTTTCATGAAAGAAGGTTCCTTTTAAAATTTTCTCGAAATTTTCCTAAATAAAACAAAAATTAGTGGAAAAATATCAATGAAATCTATATAGATTTTATTATTTTATTTCTATTTTATAACGAATTGTAATTTCATCACTTAATTTTTTGATGAGTTTTCAGATAGCCTTAGGGATTTATTCTTTTGATTGAAATCTGTTTATTATTAATGTTTAACAATAATTTTATAGGTGAATTAATATTTGTAGAATTATCGTTTCATAAAATTTTACCTATCGCAAAATTCGCAAAATTTAGGTTAAAATTAACATAAAATATATGAAATATACCTAAAATATATATAATATTTTGAGATTATACGCGAAATCAAATGCCAGTTCGCTATTTTGGTATCGATGATTACACCGATGAAAAATTCGATTCATTATCACCTTCTAGTAAACCGACAACAAATACATCATTTTCGAGAAATATTGAAGTTTTCGGAAACGAAAATGATTCTCGAAAAGAGCTTTCAGAAATTCATTCGCATGTTAAGTCGAAGGCAGCGATGTTTGATAATGAAGCGCTAAAAGCTGAACGAAACCGATTTGTGACTTCACAACAGGTTTCTAAAATTTTGATCAAAATGATAAAACAATGAAAAATTGATGTTTAATAATTCTAAGAAATTGTTAACAATTCAATTTATTCATAATTTAAATATAAAAATTTGCAAAAATATTCCTTATTTTTGGAATTATAACCATTCGAAAATTCCGAAATCCTAATTTGAATTCGCATTAATTTCAATGGTTTTTGTTGGCTTTAAGGGATTATCTCGTTTACGTGCTCGCTCAACACCTCGAAATGATTCAACAATATTCATACCACAGCCGGATTATCTAAGATTCGATCCGATTTCTATAAATACCACTCATCAGGATGATTCACTTCGATATTTTGGAAGAAGTCAACCAGATATTCACCGATTAGATTCTGAAGAACAAAATTATAAGGTGATAAAGCTTATTGAAATACTATCAGATAGATATTCACATAAATTATAAATTGTTTATAAATTGTTTATTATTTATTTATTGTTTATTATAAATTTTTTCTCAAAATATACTTTCATTTATGAATTATGAAATATATTTTAATGTAATTCAATTAAGATCAGAAAAAAAAAATTTTAAAAATTCTTAGCCAAAATTCACAGCAACGATAATGATGAGATAAAGATTGCATTGAACAGTGCTGGTTGATAATGATTTTCAGTTTACAAGCACCATTACTTATTTTGACGGTGACTATTAGGATGAAAGTGCTCCATAAGAGAGTGCCCAGCACCCATTTAGATTTCATTTGTTAATGATAGGTTGAAGAGTAATGATAGATTTCTGAATCTAAGCCATGTAATTTGCGGATACAAAGCTCCCACACATGGAGCGGCTCAAAGCATATCGGTAGGGATTGTTCCAAAAAGTCAATTTTCTTTTTTGCCAATATTATATATTTATATAATAATTTTAGCAAGCCAATTCGAATCGATATAAAGTATCAGATTCAACAAGTAATCATCTACCTGTTCACTATCGTCAAAATAATCAGTTATCGCGAATCTCAGATGTTAAAAACGAAGTGTTACAAGGAAGTCGTACTTATCAGACTACCGAATATTATCGACAAAATGCGGTCCGCAGAAATAGCGAAAAACCCTGGAGGGCATCAGTTGCCTATTGATTACTCAGTTGTTTTTTTCGACATTTTCCGAAAATATTGTAAAATATTTTTGAACAAATTCAGATATTTGTTATTCTTTAAAAAATAAAGCCATTATTCAATAATAAAAATAAAATTATTGTTATTGTAATTTGGTTATTTTTAATAGATATATTTTTTCGTCCATTATTTCCTAATTTTATAATTATCAAATTACAAAATAAGATTAAGGATAGAAGAACTGTTACTATTGTTACTGAATTAAGGTTATCAGAAGCTTCATCCTTTATTGCTCTTAAATTTTTGAAATTACCTTCTTAAAAATATTTGTTGTTAGACCTTTTCGTTTCAAAGATTCTCTCTCGTATTTCGTCAGTGACTCTTATAATGAAACGTCCAAAACTGCAGTGGTATTTTGCTGGGTTTTTTTTTACTGGCTATTCAAACAATAAGGAATTGAATTTGCATGTGATGAATTGGTAAAAATTTTTAACAAATTGGTTTTCCAGTGTGCATGGCACTTGTTCTGCTAATAAGTCGAAGAATAAATTGTTACGTCTGCTTGGTATGAATTTTTTAATAATAGCAGCAAAAAGGATTAATGGCTTTATGTCAGTATATTTAGGGGGATCGGTACGGTACGCTGTATGCAGAAATTCTTGATTTTTGACATATACAAGCATATATTTGGTGTCAACGTTATAAAATGTTAAATCATTTTCAAAAGCAGTTAACCATTTGTGAATATGCTAATTTTCTGGATTGAAAATATGTTTGCATGTTCATATTTAATTCAGTCAAAAATAGTTATTAAGTAAAAAAATCGGATTGATAACAAATAATAATTGGCGCAATTTGCCCAGCTGAATATGCCGTTAATAGTGTTAAGATAACGATATGCTCTTCATTAATAGCAAATTATATAAATAAATAAAAATAAAAAAAAATTGATAAATAAATTGATAAATATTTTAATGTTTTAATAAATTATATGGAAAATTAGACGAAAATTTCAAGCATTTACTCATTAAATCTGTAATTAATTTTATCCATCTACAAGCGATGTTAAAGCTGAGTTAATTTAGCGGTCACCAAACTACGGATCCTTTGGAGTCTCAGGCGACTTCCAAGGAACCTTAGAGGTCTAATTTTTTTTTTTGAGCTAATCTAAAGAAAAATGAAAAAGCATGTTTATCGAAAATAACATTCTTCTTTTGGAACTGCGTTCCACAATTTAGCATTTTTATTTCTTATGTTAGACGTTTAGGAAGTAGAATTAAAAGAATCAAAGGAAATCCGCTTCCACTTGGTCCACATCATGGATCATGGATTTTAATGGTATTATCTAAAGGGCTTTTCTCTCACCTCTATCTTCAAATTCTCATAATTTAACTGTTATATTATAAGATAGATAGATAAGCTAGATAATAAGATAATCGACAAATTTTTCCATCATTCAAAATCTTTTTTATAAATAAGGCAAATTTCAACTAAAACATTTATCTTCCATAATTTTTTTGAATCTAAATAAACCAAACATCGTACGGAATAAAATGAAAAAAATGAAAAATAAAATTATAAAAAAATTTTTATTGTGGAATTATTTTTTCTTTTATTGAAAATGATCTTAAATATTATAAAATAAAAAATATAGAAATATTACAAAATTTCAGATTTCTTTCCTAATTTTTATAAAAAATTTCGATTAAATTGTTTGATATAAAACATTTAAAAAAATCTGTTATAAAAAGCTAAAGAATTGATCGAATTATAAAAATCAGTAATTGATAAAACTGATCAAAAATTTCGATAAAACCACAAGTTTCTGATGATGTTCAAATTTCTTCGACTATTCGTTTAAAATGCTCTCCTTTCCATAAGTGGAAAATTTCCTATTCAAGCCAAATATTTGAAATTTCTTTGCCTCAATGGGATTTTTCCCAACTGCACCAGAACTATTACGTATATTTTTCTTCATAATATTAACAACACAACGGGAACTTAAATTTAATTTCTCATATCTTCGGTTAAATTTTGCTGATATTACGATATTTATTTAAAATCTCTTTAGGGCCACAAAAAAGTTGAGTGAAACTAAAGTGAATGAAGACCACGAATGACTACGTAGTTCTGCATTATAATTCGTTTTTAAAGATTATGAAAAAAAAAAAGAATTAAGCAGGAATTTTTAATTTTTTGGCTATCCCAGTATCTCATTACTACTGGTTAGACTCGCTCCACTGGCTTTTCGCAAATTTGCCAGGGAATCCCTAAAGGGGTCAGAGAGAAATACAGGGTTATCAGTATCACACGTTCACAGTATTACACGTTTACAAATAAATTTACAAGTAAATTATTAAATAAATAGATATAGATATAAGTCAAACGACTCTGTTAAATATATCTCTTTCCATTTAAGGAAAATTGTTTCAAGGCTTTTTCGTAAAGCTACTTTGTAATTAGATTCCTTTCTAGTATTGGAATCCACAAATCAAATTTTTTAAAAGTTTATTTTTATCGTGCAAAAAATAGCTCTGAGAAAACGATGTTGTTGAAATTCGATGCTACTATGATCAATTTATAATGGTACTACTGATGCTTTAATCTATTTGCTAGTGTTAGTGCTTTTCGAAATGATGCAATCGATTTTCAGATTTTTCTTCGTTTACTGTTAGATATCAAATATCAGAGGTTTAAATCAGCTAAAATTGCCTTAAATTGCGAACTTTGATCACATATATATCATAGATTCTTTGATGTAACCTCATAAATTTCAACCCTAAATTTTCAGCTAAAATTATTTCAAAGTCTCAAAGATAATTTTAATAAAAGTTTCGCTGTGTCTCTAAATAAGGCTTAAAAGAAGATTCTTCCTCATTTGTGCATGCATCCACTGAATTTTAATAATGCTTGAATGAATCGCCGCTATGCCTCTAACGAACAATTGCTTTGTTCTACATGGTTCTCGTAAGAATTCGAAATTTTCTTACATATTTAATTACATTATTTCGATTAATCAACATTTTAGAATGTGCAATCTTTTTGCATCGTTTTTTAAACTATTCGAATTAGTTAAAAGTTCGATTTCATTCACATTTATTTTTAAGTTATTATTTTTCACAAATCTTAAATTTCTCTTTTTAATATTTTCTTAGAAAACCAATCATTTTTTAAAATAATTTTTTATTATGCAAAGGGAGAGGATAGCCGAGTGCTAAAATCGTTTAGCGAAAATCGAGAGTTCTATTCCTCTGACGAAAATAAACCCGTCATAAAGTGAAATTCACGTAGTACGAATACGGATTCACTCGCCCGCTCTCTAACAAGGTGATTTCACTCTTTTCGTCAATGGAACCAACCAATCCAGGCTTAGTGAATATTACGAGAAGAAGAAAATCAAGTTTTTAAATTAATATTTCAATGGGAAAAAATATTTATATAAAAATATAAAAAATATTTATGTTTATACTTTTATAAAAATTTTGATTTAAAATTTTTTGTAGCCAATCAATCAGTTGTTTGTATTCGTAAAACTAAAATTTGCATCTTATCGTTTTTCAGTAAATTATATGTCGAAAACACCAATGGCAGGCAATTTATTAATATTTCATTCAGTTATTCGGTCTTTCTTGCGTGCGTTTTATAATAGTTCGTAAATAGTTTGTACATATAGATTTATGTACAACGACTAATCGGGATGAAATAACTGGATGAATGGATTGTTAATCTCGTTTTGGAACACCGATGATGGTATTCTACTCTCGGCAAGAGTAATAAATCTATATTACAAAAATTCGAATGGCACCAATGACCTATTTGTATTTCTATAGCCAAATAACTCCCTCATAACTACCAAAAATTTGTTTAACCTGGTAAGCAAGTGGGGAATTTGTCTAACTCGGAATTCCTCCATTATCAAATTCGTCAAATTCTCAATCCACGCTATTTCCGAAATATCCAAATATCTAAAATATTCTTATATCAAATTATCCCTTAAGATAATTCGAACTAATTCGAGCTGTTTAAGTAGAGTTAGAACAGGAATTGAGGCTCTGGTACGCTAATGAAACATTCTGTGTTGAGTGCCCTTAGAGTCATACGAGGCATTGCGTATAGATAATACCTATAGGTTTACAAAATTTGAATTTTTAGTAAAAACGAGGGCACTCTAACGTCTGCTTATATCGTGATAAACTAGCTTTGGTAGAGTATCGAACTGTTCTTTGAATTTGTTAAAGAAAAAATTTCTCTTTATTTCTTTTATAAATTTTAATAGGAAAAAGTTTAGAAAATTATAAAGAAATTTCTCTAGGAAATAAAAATTTTATAATTTCCATTTTAAATGATAAAAGTTTCGTCGATTTTAAAAATTTGATTTATTTCTTTGGATTTAAATATTCAATTATTCAATTATAAAAATTATTTCGAAAATTATCTTATAAAAATATTCATCTTCATTCTCACCACAACTTGTTAGATTCGTTCCGCTGGTTACAAGGATGGCCGAAGGTTTCTAAGATAAGATGTTCGGTCAGACACCATCGCTAACCGTTCTTTTTTCTATCGTCTATGTCCTATGTCACTGATTCCCCTATAGGTTCAAAATCTTTCCTGATTGTTATTAGCTCAGATCTTTGGTTCTTCTCATTTTCCATGCCATCCATCACACGGCTTTATCATTTCTTCTTTTTCCTTATTTTTTTAAAAATTCATATGAATATTTTTCGAAAAATTTACAGATTTTTTATTTTAGATAATTTTTTCATTATAATTGCAAATATGTTTCTTTCATAAATTTTACATGTGTTCAATTATAAAAACAATCGCGTTTTATTAAAAAAGATAATTTATAAAAGCCATTCGACAAAATTTTCAATATTTGTTCTGCGTTTTTCCATTCGTGATTATCAGAATTATATTTTAAAATTATTAGAAAAAAGAGCCATTCTTTCACTAATGGACAGAACCATCATCGATGTCCAACGTATTTTACCTCTACAACACTTTTTATAAATCTCATT